GCTTGATCCGTACATATTTTTAGCGTCAATTGAAGGTGCAATCAGGGCTTAATCTATCAGTGTAAATCACTCTGATACACTGATTATTAGGTATGTCACACTGATGGCTCTGGGTAATTTGTTTGGAGATCAGATTTTCCCTGATTCCAACGGGTAATGTTTTAGGCCACAGTGATGGTTTTGTGTAACTAATTCCTTCGCGAGTAATACATTGAACAGCATACGAGGCCGCTTTGACTGCCCCTGTTCCTCTCATCACCCTTCTTCTCAAGCAAAGTGTTGAGATACCGCTGATTAAAACCTGATTGCCAATCAGTAACGCAGTCAGGTGGCGTATCCATCAGCTCAATTTCTTCGAAGAGTGGAGAGCATCCTACCGACATGAACGCCGTCAATGGTGGGAGAACATGCTTCAGCCTGATTTGGAACCCCCCACGACTGCGGATACTATGCTGGTCATGGGTGAATTCAATGAGGTATTAACACAGTTTGATAGGAATCGACCCCTCAAAGCTTGTGAGATATCTGAAGGCAACATACTCACTTCCATCATGGAACAACAAAACCTAGTTGATCCCTTCCAGGAACGTCAACAGATTGATCCGGTCTTCACGTTTAAGCCCCCCTTCCTGGACGTTGTTCCCTCGCACCCGCCGGCCTCCCGGCTTGAAAGGATCTACATCAGTAAGACATGGCTCCCCCGTGATCTTACCTTTTTCTTCCTGTCCCTACCACACACAGTGTAAGACCACTCCCGCTACCCGAACGTATGCCTAGGTTTTGACAACCCCAATTGCGCCCCACGAGCATGGCGCCTTCCCCACACGTTCATCCAAAAACAGTTTGTCCGTCGGACTGTACAGGAAGCATGCATCCAACTCCCTTCCACACTCTCACCTGACAAATGGGATTCACGTAAGCACCGCTTATGCTTCTTTCTTCGCCAGTACTCTCGGAAAGAGCGCTTACGTGTGAGTAAGACAACCTCTCACATACAAAACGAAATATGCCGCTTTCAACTAATGCTTATCCGCTCTTCGCAAGACATGGCAGCCTGTAAATGTCTCAGCAAAGTGTCAAGACAGTTTGATCAGTACTTTGCTTGCAAAGCCGCAGATATTGCCCTCATAGCAAAACTCAAGGTTGAGGGGGCCAAGGAGATAGGGCTGCCGTCCCTTAGTAGGTCTCAATGCGATGAATAAAGCAGCTCTCATTAAGCACCTTGTTCTTCACTCTGGCGAACAGACTCCGGACCTACGCACCATGTCCAATATACACTTCCTTCGGAGGATTTCGGGAGAGCCCATGCTCTCCCGCCTTGCTACTCCCATCTCTCTATGGAAGGTCAAATGGGCTTTAGCCACCCTATCTTGTGGAACAACACCTGGTCATGAAGGCTTAGCCGATGATTTTTACCCATGCACACTCCACAAACCTTACAGCGGCACTCCGCATACTTTTCTCGTCGACCGAGCTCACCCAGATCATGTCGGCATCCATGCTCGTGGGATGTATGGTGCTCATTCCCAAGTGAGCAGATGCGTCGCTGGTTGAAAACTTACGGCCAATCACTCTAATGGCGTCATACTACAAGGTGCTTGCGATATGTCTAGCCAAGCCGCCGCGACTCACGTTAAAACGCATCATACACCCCTCCCAGTCTACGTTTATCAAAGGTAGATGGATCGGAGACATGATCAACGACTCGCTTGACCTTATGGAATAGGCTGAAGCGAGGAAACTTCCTCTCATGCTCACGGTGGATGTTGAGAAGGCTTATGAAATGGTTGATCGTAAATTCATGTACGATTGCATGTCTCACCTTGGCCTGCCTCTAAAATGTGTTGCATCAGTCCGCCTGCTACACACTGGTGCTCGTACACTGGTCATGGTCAACAATCTTGCAGGACAATCAATCCGCATCCTCACAGGGGTACGCCAAGGCTTCCCCCTGGTACCGTTGTTGTTTATATGCATCATCGAGGTCATGCATAGACACCACTCTGCCTCCTTACCTAGCTTAGCCTTCGCCCCTGCTCAACACTGTCTCGCGGCCTGTTGTGCGGATGATATGTCACCATTTCTCAACTCAGGAGAGGAACTGTGTACTGCCATGCCACTCCTACAGAATTTCGCTAAAGTATCGGGTGAATACGCCAATTGGTCCAAATGCTCCATTCGCCTTTTCAACACCTCAGCCTCGGCATTCCCCTAGTCCTGTTCCATCCCTATATGACAACCATCTGAAGCAGGACGAATTCTTGGCATTTACATCCAAACAGACGTTCCCAGTGCAACCACTTGGGACGAAATCCTTACCAAGATCAGGACGCCAGCATCTTTCCTTGCCAAATTACACGCCACAGCCATTTGCCGGGCTGCTCTATCGTCAGAGCGCCTCGTGCTTCTGTTTCCCTTCGGAGGTTAGGTTCCAACCACAATCGGAAGGAGTCACTAAACATCTGGATAAAGTGGTAGGCAACGTCCTCTCCGCCTCGAAACACAAAGAACAAGGAATGGCCATGAGAATGGTGCCCAATCGAATTATGTATAACATGCGTCGACACGACGGAATAGGTGCTATCGGGTCGTTCGCATATATACAAGCACTCAATGTGCAAAGGGCCGTGCGCCAGTTTGGACCTATCCAACTGGAAGATATTGCATGCACCTGCTCTCCTCTGCCCTTCGGGCTGCACTGCTTCCTTGCCAATGATGATATAGTCAAGTTCCTACCTGACCATCTTTCGGACAGAGCGGTTGCGGAAATCACAGCTGTGATGGAACTTAACTGTGTGGTGCTTCCACCATGCCTAGAACGCTGGGTACTCATAGCGGAACCAATTGCTTTCAATAGACTCATCCGAAGACCGGACGGCCTATCCTTCGAACGCACGAAGGGAGACCGCTTCTTGTTAACAGAAGAAGTAAGGTTAGGACATATCCATCACCGTACTAAGGAAGGCATCCGCAGGCTCTATGAGAAAGAAATCTTATCCAAATATCCCACCGCGTTTTACTCGGGTGGAAGGAGACTCCTCGAAGCGGTTGATTAAGCACTACCTAAGGCATGGTGGCCGGTCCTTACCTCCTTCATAGTGGTCGGGTGAGTGGGCAATCTCGGCCGCCGGTCTCACACATACTATAGGTGCGAGCGCTTCTCGTCAGGGGCCGAAATAACTCGAAATCGTTGGTCTAAAATTCTGGACAGAAAAGTCGAGTTCACAAGAAACCTCGTCGACGAAAAACTAACTGTTAGAATTTTGCCAAACTCGATTATGTTGTTGCCCTTGACTCTCTGACTATCGTGCCCAATTTGAATCGTATCAAAAGATTGAGTATAACTTGAGTTATGAATTTCGGCGTACTAGGGGGTACGCTGCCATAGAAACTTAATCACAATTGTTCTCACAAGTACCACACAAGAAAGTTATAGTAGCAATAAACCAGGTAGGAAGGGATACGGAGGACGAGAGGGAAGGTCCCAAGAGATTCCCCAATCAAGGAAACCCCATATCAAACAAGTCCCCTCCCTATAGGCACCCCAACTTTGACATTTCTCACTTTCTCAACCCATGCCATCCACCTCACCCAACTTGGCCACAATTGCCAACCTGGTTTGGCTTCTCCCAACCACTTGGCATCAACTACAGTAGGAGTGACGAATTTCCCAACCCCCAAAAATCTGTACCCCATATGGAGTCAACCCCACAACTTCCCATAGTCACCGCAACCAAATATCAAAAGCATACGAACTTCAAACGTTCGTAACTATCTCGTTTGTGCTCCGATTGAAGCGATCCTTGGCTCGTCGGAAAGCTCTTGAGCAGAGGAGTCATTTCAAATATCTTCTCAGACAAGATAACATTCACACACTCTCCGAAAAATCCAAACCACACCAAACACAAATTCTTGCACACGCTCACACCACGCATGCAACGCACAGACATATGATGGGAGGCAGACAGACGTGAACGCAAATGATAGCATCATATAACAATGTCAAACATTATATATATGTTATTGCTGTGTAGGCTATAGTGGGTTAGCCTTTAGGGGGTACACAACTCTAGGGTTTCATACTTGTACTCCAATGTTTCATAGTTCAATCACTCTTGTTTCTGACAAACAAACTCCAGGATTTCAGAGGTGGCGTCTCTCCACAACATCCTTACGGCGGAAAAACCTCTCGGCTAAAAAGCAGCGTCACACGGCATCCCGCGTTAAATTTGGTACAAGATGGCGTCTGCTCCTCTTTGACCCTACACGGGGACCTTCTATCCATCCAGATCTGCGCAACACCTAGCTACGCAGGGAGAACGTTCACCCCCCTTAATCAATTACAAGCTCTCTTGAATAGTGCTGGACGGGTGTAGCATCACAATTCACCTGCTTGTGAAAGACAAGGAAGTCGAGCGTCGTAGGCGCAAACCTTCTCGGTTTCGGGATATAGCCCGTGATCTGTTCCAGTACTGTATGCATGGTCAAGACCATTTAATAAACAAAAACTTCAATTTCGAGGGTGGAGGGTGGGGTTCGATTTCCTGTAGTAGCATTAGCGAACCTGTTTTGTGTAAGTTTGGAAAAACTAGTCCTATAAAAAGCTGGCTCTATTAAACAATCAGTGTATAAAAAAAACTACACTATAAGCTCAGGGGAAATTTTCCATAATCAACAGTTACACTGATGTTTAAAAGTAGCCTTCACAACCTACACATATTATCAGGGCTTTCACTGATGTTATCTGTGTTCGCACATTTGCCTCACGGTCCCTTTTTTATTGCTTCCAGTCTATGTATGCGCATCAAGAGAAAATACGTCATTGTCAAATTATATATAGTGATATTAGGCTGGAGTGAGGTTAGCTATAGGGGATATAACGGTTCAAGGGTTACCACCCTTGTTCCTTAGTCGAACATTCCGTTGCATTCAGCTTATAAGATTGTATCACAAATAATTTCGATCCTAGCATAGACCAGCCCGCCCCGCCTCTTAAAGACATGGTCTCATGTAAGCGAAATAGCCATCAACTGCAAAAACAATTGATGCTAGGTTACCTAGTTGGTGCAGGCAAAGTTGTCTCTGGTTTGGTTGGAAACTCAACCCCTGCATTGTCTCACGAGCAATTGAAAAACAAGTTTTGCGTACCTGTGACTTTCGATGGGTTTGGGGTATTTTAGGTTTCGCTCCGAACCAAATTTCCAAGCCTACAAGGTTCGGGTTCACCTTGCGATTTGCGTTCGCTTCGCACCCCTAGGTTCACCCCTCTTCAAACTTTTCACCTCGCCAACCAATCACACCCAACTTTTCACTGGCAACTGCAAAACACTTGTTTTACATGTGACCCTGGTTTTAACAGGCCTCGCCCCATTCTGTTACGTTCCCTTCCTCCCCCCTCCCCCCATCCCCCTCTCCCCCCCCCAAATGAATCTGCTGTCAGTCAGCTTACCCGCCCGTCGTCCCGTCGCCCGCAACAGTACGGACAGCCCTGCGCGCAGCAGCTGCACGCAGCCCGTCCCGCCCACTTGCAGCTCGTCCCGCTCGTGCGCAGTCCGCCCCGCACTGCGCGCAGCCTGTCTCGTCCCGCGCGCAACCCGTCCCATCCCGCGTGCAGCCCGTCGCGTCGCGTCCCGCGCGCAGCAGCCTTTGCTCGCGCACAGACCATCAGCGCCGCGCGGCACCCCTTCCCGCCCTTTGCAGCAGCCCGTCCTACCCGCGCGCTGCCCTGTCCCCACGCCCTTCTCCCTGCCTCGTCCCCTCACCGCCTGCTGCCCCGGCGATTCCTGCTGCCCGGCGCTGCCCCACCCTGCACCCGCGCGCGTCCCGCACGCCCCGCACCACGCACAGCGGCTGCAACCTTGTTCGCCCCACCTGCTAGGCCCTGCAACCCACTGCTCTCAGACCCCTTGGACCTCTATTGTAAGGCCCCATGGCCCCCCTTGACCGACCGACCACTCCTCTTTGCGCTAAGTCGCTTCCTACCGCACCTAACCACTTGTGCCGCACCTTCCAATGCTTACTGTCACTGGCGTTCCACCCGCAGCGGCTGGCGAATGCAGTACACATTCTAGGGTAGTTAGGGTTAGTATCCGGCGTCCCTGGGTTTGTCCATTCTGGCTCTACCCGCCACTTGATTCGACCATTCTTAGGGTAGCTCTTTCGGGAGTAGCTTTTCCGTTTTTGTTTGTTCGTCCTATTTCACCCCTAGTCCAGTCGAGCACTAGACATGGCCGCTCCTCGACCTCTAAGTTTCGATGCAAAGGGTAGGGAACTCAATTTTCCTGCCTGAATCTTCCGTATCAAGCTGCACCTGCAGAGCGAGTGCTAGGATGACGACAGGCTCTGGGCTCACGCCTCTGGTGACCTGCCCACGCCTCCTCGCTCCCGTGACCTGCCTGCAGAGCCTACCGACAACGAGCAGGCGCGCTTCTATAAGGGCCGTATAGCGTTGTCGGTGTGGCAGTCTCGTGACACCGCAGCGCGTATCGCCCTCACTAGCCTTCTCCATGAGTCTGAGGAGAACCACTTCACCCAAGTTCGATCTGCCCAGGCCCGTTTTGCGGCGATCAAGGCCCGTTACTCCACTCCCAACTTCGCCTCCCTTGGTCGTCTCTTCCTGCAGTTCCTTTTTCCCAACCTAGGTGTGTTTGCCTGCACTGCTGACCTTATCGCTCACCTCCGCTCGCTCGACGCTAGCTACCGTGCTGCAAATACCGAGGCTCGGATAATGATCCTCCTATTCACTTCATAGCTTCTTCCCCTCCCTGACCGTCTTGCACCAGTCCGCGTCGCGCTACTTCTGAAGCACCCTACTGAGCTCGCCATCGAGGTCCTTGAGTCAGCACTCAGGGACATCGAGAGCAACATCCGCTCCATTGCCTCTGCATCTGACGCTGTAGCTCCCCACTTTCACTGCTTCTCTTGCCTCGACTGCGTCTCTTGCTACTGGTGAGACGGCAGCAATGTCTACTGCGGGTGGGCTGTCCAATGGCAAAGGAAGTAAGAAAGGTGGGAAGGGTGGTGGTGGTGGTGACGGCGGAAGTGACGCAGAGAATGGCGGAGGTGGGGACGGTACTGGTCCGTTCCAGTCTAGCGGAGGGGGCCCTGGATGTGACCCTGGGCCTGCGGGCCTGACGGGAGGGAGATTTGGGGTAGCTAGTTAGTATGCCACGGTAGCACCGCAGCAGCAGTGGCGGCCCCAGCAGCACCAGCTACAGCAGGGACAGCCGCAGCACACTTTCACCGTAGTACACTTTTTCCTCGTCCATGGCATCCTTCACCGCCTTGCCCTTCCAGCTCGACAACGCCTCCTTCACCGTCATCGTCGCGATTTCCAAGCGGTGATCAGGGTTGGCGTGCACGTCGGTGTCGAGCTCGGGCAGGTCGACGTCTGCCTCAGCGTCATCGAGCAGCGTAGTGATGGCAGCTGGTGGCAGACAGGCGTGAAAGCTCAGCCGCTCCGACGGCTTCCGACTTCGGCCTGAGCATCGCAGTTCCGGCTTCTCGACCGGAACCTCCACCACATCGCTGTCGGTAGACTCCTCCCCTGCCAACAGCTCCCCTTCAATGTCGACATCCTTGTCGACGAGCTGCTTCCTCGAGAGGGCAGGACTTCCTCGACGTCCTCAACAGCAGGTTCGTAGACCTTGGCAAGCAGCGGGAACGTCGCCGCCGATGTGTCCATCGGTGGGTGGGCCTCCGTTCGCCCCAACGCAGGCCCGTACTTCACCTTCCACACCTCCAGCAACAGCGTATCGTAGAAGATGACCTCGACCGACGTGACCACCTTGTTTTCGGCCAGGTCAAACGCCTCCCAGCGAAGTCCCCAGCGAGCCTTGGGTGCTAGCTTCCCACCGCGTTGCTGCTCGGGGACCATGAACTGCACCATGCAACCCCACACCCGCGCCAGCGTGAGCTCGGGCTCCTTGCCGGTCAGCAGCTGGTACGGCATCTTCCGTGGCATCGTTGTCGACCGCTCCAAGCAGTTGCGCACCCAGACAGCCTGTCGCATGGCAAGGTGCCACCAGTGGTGCTGCACACCTATGCGCAGCAACATTGTCCGCATGAACTCAGCAACCGTGCGCATCTCCCGCTCAACCATGCCATTCTGCCGCAGACTGTATGGATAGGTCAGGTCGTGGACAATGCCCTTCCCATCGACGAATTCGGTGAACTCCTTTCGCAGGAACTCCCCTCCGCGGTCGGAACAGAGCATCAAAACGTCTTTTTTGTCTGTCGCTCTACCACCAGAAGCCACTTCTGAAACTCCAGCAGCACGTCCCTCTTCTTAGCGACTGGCTTCACCCACACGAATTGAATGTGGCGGTCCTTCAGCAGGAAGAAGTACAAGCTGGTGTCCTTGGCAGCCACCCGGAATGGCCCTGCACAAATCAACGTGCACGATAGCCAAAGCCTCGTTGGCATCCGAATCCTTGTCGGGGAAGTTGTGCCGCGCCAGCTTCCCTCCGACGCACGAGTCACAAGGCAGGTCAGGTCCGGTCGATGGCTTGATGTCGAGGCTGGTGGCGACTTCATGCTTCGCCGAGCTCTTGATCATGTTGGCGCCAACGTGTGCGAGCCTCGTGTACCACCAGTCGGGGGTCGACTTCGTCACTGAAGCGATCGTCCGCAGAGCCACCACCTCGGTCGATGGCGACCGCGTCAAGCAGGGGCGAAGGTCGGTGCAGAGGACGTGGCCAGTGTAGCGTGCCAAACCGAGTATCTCCCTTGCGCTCGACACGAGCTGCATTTTGTCGCCGTCGTCCTGCAGATTCACACCGCTCTCCTGCAGCTGACCGGCTGAAAGCAGGTTCGCCTGCACGCCCGGAATGTAGAGCACGTCGGGGATGAGGACCTGCTTTTCGGCCTCTCCTTGCAGAGCGACAGTGCTGCGGCCCTCCACAGTCTGCAGAGCCCCGTTGAAGCTACGCACATGCTTCACGTCGCAACTCGGCGCCATGTCGACGAAGACCTCCTTCGTCCCCATCAGTGTGGTATGAGCAACCACTCTCGAGCAGCACCACCAGCGGATTTGCCTACATGGAGGCCGCGACCGCCTTGAAGTCCTCGCCAGCCTCTGGCGCCAGCGAGACTGTCGGCTCCACCACAGCGACCATCAAGCACGACCCTTCCCTGTTGCCTCGGCCTCTGCCGCTGGAGGAGTCGACATCCTTCGTCGACGACTTCTTCTTCGACGCCTGCTTCTCATTGCGCGGCTTCTCGTTTCGACGGGGGTGACGGCTGGCCAACCCACCGCGGCCTCCTTTGTTGTTGTCCTTGTCGCTGTCATCGCGGTCGGGAAACTCGAAGGAAAGGCGGTCGGGGTCGCTGTAGGTCCAGCACTCCCGGCGTCGACCACCACCTTCACGACCCTTGTCACGTGTCGACTTTGCCTGGTCGACATCCTTCGTCGACCTCCCACCTCCGCTACCACCTTCGCTCTGCTTCCCACGCTGCCCCTGCTTTGTCGGGGCAGGTAGCTTGTCTGCGGAAGGAGCTTCGTGGGACGCTCTGCTTCCTGCATCGACTCATCTCTGATGATGTAGCTGGTGATGGTGTCCTCGTTGAGCGACTCACTCGTGCCGGGCACCACCATCATCCGGCGCATGAGGTTGTAGCCGCTCGGGAGACCCTTGACAGCATGCGTGATGTATGACGCCGTCGAGTAGTCGACGCCCGCCATGCGCATCTCAGGGAGAATCGGTCGAGCCCGGTTGCAGTAGTCCGTCGCTGACTGCTGCTCGCCCATACAGAGGTGAGTCATCTGCTCCTCCAAATGACCGATGTACAAATCATTCGTTGCTTGGTACGACAACAGGATGAACCGAGACGCGTGATGGCCAGCGTCCGATCGCCGTCTACAAAGCTTCAACGCTATCTGCACCACCGGCGACCAGCACCTCGAGATGATCATGAAGGTCAGCAGGTGAGCGGCATGAAACTCCGCGCGTAGCTCGACTTCGTCCATGTCCGGTGTCGGCACGTTGCCCTTGGCGAAACCCTTCAGCCCGGCGATTTTCAGTTGAGGCTCAATAGCCTCCCTCCACGTGATGAGGTCCCGTCGACCTTGCAGCGGTGTGGACACATCGATCTTCTCCGGCAAGAACTTAAAGTACCCGTACACCGGTGCGATCCCTCCCGCCGTCACGTGCGTCGTCAATGTGGGCCTTCTACTGGTCTGAGGAGGTGAGCGACGTTGCCTGTCGACGTCGACACGCGAGCTGCCTTCAGCTGCCGTTGACCGCTGCACTCGCGCCTAGCTCTTGTCGACGCCGCCATCGACCTTGATCACTCCTCTCTTCTTCGTGCTCATGCTACCGCTGACTTGTCCATTGCGGTCGACCTCCTCGTCGACGCCGCCGTCGTTTTGCACCGGCCGAGGAGATGCAGATTGGGAGGGGTGTTCCGTCGCCCACTTTCCCAAGAAGACCACCTACAAGAGGAGTACCGTCCCGAACTCTCCATCTCCATGGCGTCTCGTTGCATCAGCCAAGCGTGCCTCCAAGGTGTCCTCTACCGCACCGGCCGCTGCCAGGGTAGGCGTCATGGTTCGCACGGGCTGCCGGCCTATGAACGACTTAGTAAGTGCGAAATTCGGCTCCTAGCGGGGCCATCCACGCTCACCGCACCATGTGGAGAATTGCTCTACAACGGTCGAGAGCTAGACTACGGAGGGGTTGGCACGAGCTCTAGGAGTGATCGTAGCTTTGCCTGCGTTCCTTAGCACTTGCACATTCACGGGAAGAATTGGCAAGAGTTTCACTAGCAAAGTTGGGATTACAGAATGATTGATACAGGCAATGACAAGAATGACTACATCAAAGACTAGCAACCTAGCAGCCAGGACAGTCGACCGCCAGCATAGCATGGTCGACCACC